CCCCCCCCCCTCCCAAATCCCCGAATCCCCAACAATCCTCAAACTCGCTAAATCCCAAAAAGCCGGTAACGCCTCTGGTGTTCCAGGTGTCGCAGGGCGACGATGATTGCTTGCCATCAGGTGATCTGTCTGCTCGTTTACTGGCTTATGCCATAAAAAAAATAGTGTAACTAACACGACTTCACTTCATAGTATAAAACAAAGTAGCTATCCGCCGTCTGTCTGTCCCTATGTATGCTTAGATCTTTTAAACTACGCAACACATTTTGATGCTATTTTTTTTAATAGATAGAGTGATTTTTAAGAGAGATTGTCATGTATAATACATGCATATTGCACCCGTGCGAAGCCGGGGCGGGTTGCTAGTTCTTTTATAAATATACATCTAGATTTTTTGTAATGTTGTTTAACTTTTGTTCCTCAGGTCATAAGCTACTGGTAGCGAACGAAGACTCGTCCTCCATCAACACGCCGGCCGTCGCCGCCGCATACTCCGTCAGGAAATATGTGTCGCAGGTTCAAACACTTTCTATATTACTACCGATCATCAACAAAGCTACGGTTCAAATACACGTAGAACAAATTTCCGTGCGTTTAGACGCTTTTGCCATACCTATTATTGGAAGCAAGTATAACAGCTCACACATGGGACCCACTTAGTTTTTAGTCAAATTTCCGTGGTGCTTGGCGACTGGGCTTCACCCAGTTGTACAGTCTCTTCTTTGTGCCTTTAGGCTTAATTCATTCTGTCTCCTGCAGTGGGAAGGGACCGAGCTACCGAGGGAAGTGGAAACTATCGTTTTTTTTCTTCTCCTCTTATAATATCTTCTGATTCACTTCGTTGCGGGAACCAAGACAGTTACTCATGTCCCTGGGACGCGCCGGACTTCAGTGTTCCGGCGTTTTTATGGCACATGATCGTAAGCGGAAAAAAATGCAACATTCTTTAACTCTTCGCCAGAGTCTATATTTCCTGAAGGGTACCTATAACCTGGGTGTCTTCAAGGCGCGAGTGAATAGGTTGCTTGTGGGACGACGTGCTCCATCTTAGACCGCATCAACGCTTACGATCAGGCGAGATGGTGGAATCAAATATAAAAAAAAATAAATAAAAATCTGTATGTTAGGAACAGTACATATAACATGCAATCAATTATTTATATATTTTAAATAATACAGATCGATAGAGGAAGTAATATATTTTTATATAAACCACGTAAAAACTGACTTCAACCCGCTCTCTTTTGAGCCTCTAGCACGGCTTGAAACTAGTCGAGTTCATCATAAAATAATTACGTGAGTAAGCCGAAAAACATAACAATTAATTTAGTATGTCTTGCGAAAGTTATTATAACATAAACTCTATATTTTGTTTGTTGCAGGCGCGGGACGAAATCAGTTTCGAAGTGGGCGATATGATCTCGATCATAGACATGCCTGGTAAGTTTTATCTTAGTAATACAATAAAGATTATTATATTCTACTCTATAGTTTTGACGATATTTCCAAATGAGTATTGATTTTGAAGAGCTAGAAAGTACCTATTTGGCATTACGCTATCCCTAACCCCTTACTTAAGGGGCAATCTTTTTCTCCTACCCCTCGTTACTTATACATATAGATGAACGATCTCCCTATTCCCCTTGCTATACTCTTGCCCCGTTTATTGGGGAGCCATTCTGCGTAGGCTTCTTTCCTTTCTGCTCTGTGTTGGCGTCTCCCTCCCCCCTAGCTACATCCATACTGATGGCGCCAAGCTTTGCCTGGTCCGGCGGAGTCGCTGTGGTGGCGCGGCACTCCGTCCCCCTCCCCCTCCCCCCTAGCTACATCCATACTGATGGCGCCAAGCTGTGCCAGGTCCGGCGGAGTCGCTGTGGTGGCGCGGCACTCTGTCCCCCTCCCCCTGCCCCCTAGCTACATCCATACTGATGGTGCCAAGCTGTGCCAGGTCCGGCGGAGTCGCTGTGGTGGCTCGGCACTCCGTTCCCCCTCCCCCTCCCCTAGCTACATCCATACTGATGGTGCCAAGCTGTGCCAGGTCCGGCGGAGTCGCTGTGGTGGCGCGGCAAGCGCGGGTTCCGAGTGGGGTTCTTCCCTCACCACTGCGTCGCTGTCATCGGGGACAAGGTACCGCGGCATATGACGCAGCCACCGCCTATTGTTGGGTGAGTAGAAGGAGTAGTTATAGTAAAAAAAAAACTTTTTTGTGTCTCTAAGCCTCAATATGAACTAGCTGTTAACCGGGCGGCTAGCCGTCCCCTGCGGATAGCCGCTTTTCCAATTCATAATAATGCAACCGCGAAACTACCGCTATGGTAACTGCATCAGTCCGTACGAACCGCCTACGCAGTATATACAGGTGCATAATCCGAACGAAAATCATTGTTTATCTTAAGAAAATCCACCTCGATATGCTCACATTACTACAGAGCTTTATAAAAACACGAGCGAATGTGCGCGAATACGCGCGTAACACTGATTGCGATTTGGATTTTCGCTGCGATGCGCTTCGAAAGTGTTCAATGTAATTGAATTAGTTTTATTTATAATTTTCATTAAAATGTTAAATTGATATTAAATAATAAAAATATTACTTCAAGGCATCAAAAAATTTTTCCTCATCGCTATCGTGAGGTAGGGTGCCCAAAAGACTGGCAGCATTGCCACGTTGAATGACAATGCTTAACCTTTGCCCAAGGCAGTAGCCAGCCCTTCGATCACCTGAAGTTTCAACCATCCTTCTACAATATCTTTGTAAAGAAGATGTGCACTTGGGCCCCACGGCCCTTAAGCTTCAACTTATTTTCATTGTGGACACTTCTGGCTGAGTAAAGCTCAACTAGTTTCGCGTCACATCGGGACTTATTCATGATCTTTTCTTAGTCATTACATGTAAGCAAACCTTCATTTTCATAAGTGATTTTATAACCTTTGTTCCCTACAGCTCAGTAGCGGTAGCACCAATAAAGCCAGTTCTCCGCAAACATGGGAAGTTGATCTCCCTGTTCCGAAGCTTCATACTATCGCGGCCGTCGCGCAGGAGTCTCAAACAGCAGGGTATACTAAGGGAGCGAGTCTTCGGATGTGATCTGGGGGAGCATCTACTTAATTGTGGACATGATGGTGAGGGTCTTTTGAAGATTTTTGTATGTAATGAAATCGGACCTATGCTCAGAGTCTCTCTGAAGGATAGGATCCGTAACGAGTTGATTTTTTTTATGGGATAAGCTGGTGAACTAGCAGACGGATCACCTGATGGTAAGCAATCGGCGTCGCCCATGAACACTCGGAACACAAGTTGCGTTACAATTGCGTTACCGGCCTTTTGATGATTGTTGGGGATTCAGGGATTGGGGAAGGGGGAGGAGGGGAAGGGGTAATTAAGCCTTTATTTTTGAAGTTCTAAAAGTTTTTTGTGCTTCCTAAGTTTATTAATACTTCTGACATTCGATGCAGAATAACATCGTGTAGAAATTAGGGCTAATAATGTCTAATTATAAGTTTGAAGTTGCCAGCCCGTAATAGCCGGCGTGGTCTGAGTCTGTACTCAGAAGTGAACAATTACCTACTGGTATATTATGATAATTTAATTATTATTATTTTTCCAGTACCTCAAGTCCTAGTAGAATGCGCCCGAGCAATAGAAGCCCGCGGCGCAGTGGACGGAGTGTACCGGCTGTCAGGGGGCGCGGGCCTGACCCAGCGTCTCCGCGCGGCCTTCGACGCCGGCTCCCCGCCTGATCTCAGCGCGCCACCTACCACTAGGGACCCACATGCAGTGCCTTCGCTGTTGAAGATGTATTTTCGGTGAGTATTTGGTATTTAAACTGTCAAACACTAAGCGGTCACCGGTGACCGCAACCTATTGTTCTATAATTGTGTCTACAAAACCGGTACTCGACGAGTTAAACTGTCAAACACCAAGCGGTCACCGGTGACCGCAACCTATTGTTCTTTAATTGTGTCTATAATAACGATACTCGACGAGTTAATTAACACTGGGTTTTTACACGGTACAGTACGGTATTTTACAACTAATCAAAATCAATACTTTTATCGAAACGTCAAAAACGATATTGTTCTATGAATTCTGTACCAAAAACTAACTTATGACGTCATCATAATTTCTAGTCAAATAGCACACTTATTTCTGAAAAAATGCTAGAATAAACCGAAAATTAAGTATATCGGCAAATACATGAATGAAATTGGATTAATTTTTGATTATTTAATTGGATTGATAAATCAAAATAATTTATTTTTGACTCAGGAAATAGTCCGGTCAATTTAGACATTCGAAGTTACATAAAGTCCCAACAAGCTGAATTTTTGTGAAGTTGTTCAAAACATAATTACAAACAATGTCTAAAAGTTCCCCATCATTCCCCTGTAAGGAAAAAATTTAATTCAAGGTCAAAGGTAAAAAAAATGAGCTTTTCGCGATTTTCAGCAAAACGGTGTTTCATCATAAAAGTACCTCAGACAAAAATTGTATATGATAAAATTATCTATAAAAAAATCTCAATACTTTTTTCTTACAAGCCATCGTTTCTGAGATATAACGATTCTAAAAGTTATAAAAGTTGTTATCGTCAAATAAATGAAATGCTATCATTTCATTTGTTAGCATAACATTTGTATTATTTGTTTTTTATTTTAGTAAGTTTTGTAATTTGTATATCATCTCAACTCCAAATTCTTTGTATAATATCAGGAATGGCATGATATTTAAGTACTATTTTAAATTGAGTAGCCGGTCAGTATTCGAGCGTAAGCAGTTTGAATTTCGAACCGCGAAGAACTTAACGGGTAACCGGGGCTCCGGCTCGAAGTGCGGAACGGGGTGGTTTTTGGTCAGTAAGAGTCTGACACTCCCTCCCGACTCATTCATACGAGACAAGTCATTGGATGATTTTCCTGCTTCAAAACATAAATGAGTTTGAATACCTCTATATAATTTACTAGCTGCACCGGCTAACTTTGTTCTACTTAAAAAAAAAAAACAATATAAAACAAATATATATGCCAGCTGTCACAGATAAGGATACAGGCAACAGGCAAGTGACGTCACCGACCTCATTGCAGCGCCATATTGTCAAAGTAGCATTTTGGCACACTATTTAAGTATTGAATTTGAAGTTTTTCAGCTAATATATATATACCGGAATTAAAAAAAAAGAACTTTTACTGGGTTCCTTCTACTACATAATATAAAATGGATTTTAAAAACCTGTCAAATAGCCTATTATACTAGAACCAAATCGGTTCAGCCGTTATCGAGCGAGACTAACGAATGGAAATACATTTTTATTAATATAGATTTCTAATGTTTCCTCATTTCCTTTACAGTGAGCTCCCGAACCCGCTCTGCACGTACCAGCTGTACGAGAGCTTTGTCAGCGCCGTGCAGGCCGGGGACGAGGCGGCCCGGCTCCGGGCCGTCAGAGACACCGTCGTCAAACTGCCGCCGCCGCATTATAGGTACTGTTCATGTGTATCACTTATAGTCTACAAGTCATTTAACCCAATTTGACTAAAAATGTAATATGGTGTCGACAGTAAAACACATTATTCGCCACTTCTACTGTTTCCGTGGGTGTGACATACCCTACGGGTGTTGTCTATATTGGAAAGTTTGCCATAATGTCGTCGATCGGTAATCGCGTTGGAGATTGCAGCATAAAAGGTTCAGGTTTATCAGAGAGCGCTGCTGCCCGGTCTCTGTCTAATGTGTAGTGTCTTAGTCGGGTATACGACACCCGCGGGACTATTTTACTTTGCCGACATCACGTGGTAATTTAAACTTCTTCTGCTTATGGTGCCACTACATTACTGAAGTTAGTCGTCAGCTTTTTTAATGAATTCTTGTTTTGTCATATTTTAAACATTACCTGCCTTATCTAAATTGAAATTGATTTATAATAATGATAATAATGACAGTTTATATTTCTGTCCCCCACAGGACGTTGGCGTACCTGATGCGTCACCTGCGGCGCGTGTCCCTGCTGGGCGCGCAGACGGGCATGACGGCGCGCAACATGGCCATCGTCTGGGCACCCAACCTACTGCGGGCGCCGCGCCCCCAGCACGCCCTGCAGGGGGTCGCCGTGCAGGTACACCACTGTGTATATGTCATGGGCCAACTTACTGCGCCCTGCAGGGGGTCGCCGTGCAGGTACACCACTGTGTATATGTCATGGGCCAACTTACTGCGCCCTGCAGGGGGTCGCCGTGCAGGTATATGTCATGGGCCAACTTACTGCGCCCTGCAGGGGGTCGCCGTGCAGGTACACCACTGTGCTATATGTCATGGTCCCGCGTCTGTTCACTATCGCCTGGGCCTTTAGCCAAACGCCACTTTAGCGCTTGTCTACCGAGAGAGTAGAAAACTAACTGTATGGGGATGACACTGAGAAGTGTCAAAATTTACGTCAATCCCATATAATTTGGTTTTCTATTCTACAAGTAGACAAGCGCTAAATGGCATTCAGCTACAGTTGCTAGTAGTGCACGATGATGCGGTCTACGATGGAGCACGTCGTCCCATAAGTAACCTATTCACTCGGGCCTTGAAGACACCCAGGTTATACTCCAGGAAACACAGACTCTGGCAAAGAATTCCATTTCTTAGCAGTACGCACAAGGAAGCTTGATGCTACGCGCTTCGTGCGTGTGGGTGGGACATGTACCATGAATCACTTGTGCTCGCACTCACTCAGACATACGTTTGCTCGCTCACTTACTCGCCTCCCTACCTCAGACTCATTCACTTACTTAAATCAGTGCTGGGTGACTTGTATGGCTGGCTGACACTGAGTGGGTGACCCTTCTAGCATAGACATGTTGTCAGCGTCTACCTTCTAATTCTTCTATTTTAATTTTTTAACTCAATGTTTTTATTACTTTCACACATTAAACCCCAATTTGTTTGTGTTCCAGGCGGTAGTAACGGAATTCCTGATCTGCTACGCCGAGGAGTTGTTCGCACAGGAGCAGGGAGAGGATTCTGGACCGGAGTCTTTGGAACAGGTGTGTATCTTGACGAGTTTTTTTAATCTTAACACTTTGGATTTGGCAAAACGCTCGGTAGGATTTTAACTTTTCGCAATTATTATTATAGAGGTAAAGTTGACTTTGAAATAGCAGATGGCATTTGCAAATATTACCTTTCATCAGACTGTCTCATGGGCCGAGTCGTCGCAAGTGCGACTGCCGGGCAAGGGGTCTTGGGTTCGATTCCCGGATCGGGCAAAGTATTACTGGGTTTTAAAAAATCTCAGTAGTAGCACGGAGTATGGAATTGTGCCCGGTATATGGCAATAGGCTCACCCCCTATTACATGGGACTCATAACATAAATAGTGAAAAGTGGGTGTTACATTGTACAGTGGCATTAAGTGCCGAAAGAGGTGTACATCTCTGACTACCCCTTCGGGGATAAAAAAAGGCGTGATGTTATGTTATGTATGTTACCTTTCATCATAACATTGACATCAGTTAACGCAGGAAAAATACATACTATCTTATTTTATATTTATTAATTTTTGATATGGTAAATGGAGCGAAATTACAGTTTTTTGAAAGCAGTATATGGCAATACACTCACCCCCTATTACATGGGACTCAACGTAACTGATGAAATGTGGTTGTTACATTGTAAATGTGCACCTCTGTCTATCCCTATTGGGTATTAAATAATATTTTTACTGTTTATTGTATTTCTAGGATCGTTGTGAGTCTGAAATAGAGCTCCGCGGCAATGACTCGTGTCGCCGTCCTAAGAGCTTGCCGATCAACCCGCCAACAAAGTTACTGAGGTAACTTACTATTTCGTTTTATTTCCCCATCTGTCATTTCCAATCCGCAAATTTCTAACCGTCTGCTCGTTTACCGACTTATCCCGTAAAAAAGTGGGTAGACGACCAGACGGATCACCTGATGGTAAGCAATCGGCGTCGCCCTTGGACACCTGGAACACTAGAGGCGTTACAAGTGCGTTACCGGCCTTTTGGGGATAGGAATTTGAGGATTGTTGAGGTACCCTTACGCCTGCACGTGACGGACGTGTCAGTACGGCGTCCAGCTCGGCGGGATCACTCCGGCCGAGCCGACATGACACTGCAGTGCCGAAGATGGCGAGCCCTCATTTACATTTTCATACTATAAGAAAGATTGTTAATTTCTTAGTACCTATGTTTGATTAAATTTAAAGTGAAGTTTCCGTTTTTCAATGAATTTGAGTAATACTATTTTGTAAAATGAAACTTAAGTGACTATTACTTTAGTTTTATTTTTAATTAATCATACCCCTGCAGAGAAATATAGTGTATATGGTTGTAACATAGAATTGATTAAAAACCAATGCTAAAGGAATGCCCCAACCTATGTTCTTGTCGCGGAGGACTTAACGGGTTGCCGGGGCTCCGGCTCGACGTGCAGGAGAAGGAACGGGGTGGTTTTTAGTCAGTAAGAGTCTGACACTCTCTCCCGCCTCACCCAGGCGAGAGAAGTTAATCGATGATAAAAAAACCTATATTGTTGTATGTTAATGTGAGTTATATGATTCCCCAGCTTGGAGGAAGCCCGGCGGCGCGGGCAGGCGGGCGGCGCGGGCAGCCCGCGCAGTCCGCGCAGCCCGCGCCTGCCCGCGTCCGGCGCCATCGCCGCCGCCGCCGGGCAGCTGCGGCCCTCCGCGCATCTACGGCCCAACTACATCGAGGTACGCGGCGGACACTGCCTTATACATAACTCATCGGACTTGTGCTTGCATAGCTTCTTTTTTACTCTTTCACATTGGATGCCGTGTCACGCTAGAAAGAAAGAAAGAAAGATAAATAATTTATTCACCACCACGCTTGGACCACCAAATGTACACACATAAAATAACATTAAAAAACAAACAAATAAAAAAACAATAAAAGCAAAAAACGACATTATAATAAAGCAAAATAAAAGAGCAACATAGTGGCAGCATGCCCACGACGAAAGGACTCGCCAACTCGAATTTAAACAGATTTTATCGGTAGTTAAAAGCTTATTTTATAATAAGTCATAATACTTATGTGTTCACACACGCAAACACTCACTCTCACTCAAAAATTGTGCTCTCTTCACACTTCTCACTCATTGCCAATATATTTTATGAAATAAGTCTGTAAACGAGCAGACGAATCACCTGATAGTAAACAATCGACGCGGCGTCGCCCATAGACACCTGGGCCATTAGCCAAACGCCACTTTAGCGCTTGTCTACAAAGAGAGTAGAAATCAAAATGTATGGGGATGACACTGACAAGTGTTAAAATTTACGTCAATTCCATATAATTTGGTTTTCTATTCTACATGTAGATAAGCGCTAAATGGCATTTGGCTACAGCTGCTCGAACACCAGAGGCGTTACAAGGGGATTAGGAATATCGCTGTTCATATTAATTACTGACTAATTTTTTCCTCTTAACTTCATAATTAATTTATTTATTTCAATTAAAATAGTGTAACATTACAGTCATAAAAGCAAGGCGTTATACATTTAAAATAATTATAATAAAATAAAAACAAAACGAATACTAATATTAACTCGTCGAGTACCGTCATTATAGACACAATTATAGAACAATAGGTTGCGGTCACCGGTGACCGCGCGGTGTTTGACAGTTTAAATCACTTACTCATTTTTGACACTCGTAAATAATTACTCCGCGAGTGAATGTGAGTGAGAATGAGTGCCATACATTCACTCGTTTATATAAATAATAAAACGAGTACATTTGTTATGTAATTATTCTTTGTAATTACAGTTTATAGTAATTAGATAATTAATATACTGCGAGAAATACAAAAAATATTATGACATTTAATTCCAGGTGGGGTCGGGACCAAACAATTTACCTCAGTATCACACCGTGCTAGAGCTACCAGCGCCCGGTGAGTTATATTTTAGAATCTAATTATTTATTACATAGGTAGTAGTGTCGTGGTGGCTCGGAGGTTACACGTAGGGGTCATCTATGAATTACATCACACGAATTTCATGATCTTTTGCCCCTCTCCCCGTCCTTGTCACAGCTAGTCACATTTGTGGAACCCCCCCCCCCTAGTGTGACGTCAGAATTACGTATGTATAAAAATTATTGAATGAAAACAGCCGTTCCGAAATCAGATTTATTTCTATTTAAAAATATTGATATCAAATCAAATAAAGTAAAAAACATTAATACAATCGTATTTCGTGTTTTATAAGTCTTTGAAATATGATATCACAAAGTTTGGGATCTTTCCCTCCCCCTTGTCACATAATGTTACACTTCGTCGTCCCCCTCCCTACCCCTTAACGTATGACGTAATTAATGGACGGCCCCATATCTTCAACCGATTGGGCTGAAGTTTTGTATACGAGTTTCATTTGTATGATTGGGATTGTATGTGTGTATGCGAATATTTGGTGAAGTAATATAAGATGTTGAGTGAATTTTTTTGACATAAGTCAGTAAACGAGCAGACGGATCACCTGATGGTAAGCAATCGGCGTCGCCCATGGACACCTGGAACACCAGAGGCGTTACAAGTGCGTTACCTGCTCGGCTGTGGTATCACTCCGGTCGAGCCGGCCCATTCGTGCCGAAGCATGGCTCTCCTACACGGTGAATGAATCCGAACGGATGGAATGAAAGGGTAGTATGATTGAGATTGGAAGAAGACAGACAGTTGATGAGTGAAGACGTTGTTCTATTTAATGATATTGTAGAAGACGGTTATTTTATTAATACATTGTTTATTTTACTGACTACAGACTGCCTCATTGGCCGAGTGGTCGCAAGTGCGACTGCCGGGCAAGGGGTTTCGGGTTCGATTCCCGGGTCGGGCAAAGTATTACGGGGTTTGTAAAAACCTCAGTAGTAGCACGGAGCCTGAATATGTGCCCGGTATATGGCAATAGGCTCACCCCCTATTACATGGGACTCATAACATAAATAGTGAAAAGTGAGTGTTACATTGTACAGTGGCATTAAGTATCACAATGTGTACCTCTGCCTACCCCTTCGGGGATAAAAGGCGTGATGTTATGCTATGTTTATTTTACATTAAAGTAGGTTATTTAAAAAAAAATAAGTGTTTTTAATTCGATAAGGAAAGGACATGTCATGTGAACATAGATTCAGTATTAATTGTGTCCGTTACAATATATAACGCAGTACGTTGCCTGCTGCCCGCAGGCAAGCGCGGCCTGAAGCGGTCCCCGGCGGGCTGGCGCGGCCTGTTCGCGCGACACAAGGCGCGCGCCCGGCTCCCCCCGCGCGCCGCGCCCGCGCCCGCGCCCGCCCTGGTACACACGCTCGCACTCATTACATACGCATGTCGGAATACTGAAACGGTACTCAATTTTAACTCGTGCTTAAACTGTCAAACACCAAGCGGTCACCGGTGACCGCAACCTATTGTTCTATAATTGTGTCTATAATGACGACACTCGACGAATTAACTATAGTTCTATCTCGACGAATTCTTTGTAAAATGACAGAGATGGCACGATATTTGAGCACGACTTAAAATTGAGTAACGTTTCCGTATTCCGACATAAGAAATATATATAAAATACAACTATTTAAACAAACATTTACACTGCCTCGTTAGCCGAGCTCGACAAGTGCGACTGCCGGCCGAAATGCCTCGGGTTCGATTCCCGAGTCGAGCAAAATATTAATGATATTTTTTATCTCAATAATAGCACGGAGTTTGAAATTGAGCCTGGTATATGGGAATAGGCTCACCCCCTATTACATGGGACTCGTAACATAAATAGTAAAAAGTGGGTGTTACATTGTACAGTGGTATAATGTGCACCTCTGCCTAAGACGTAATGTTATGTATGTGTGTATTCTATGTATATTTAAGAAATTTTACTTATGCAAAGCCGCGGGTAACAACTAGTTGAAATATACGCTTTAACTATACACAAGTACCTTGTATGATGTCCCCAGGACGTACCGATGACCTCGCAGCCCCCGCTAGGCCTTCGCCCCGTGAAGTCTTGTGAGTCCCTCGCCTCAGACACTGACACTCTCGCTCCATTAGCAGAGCGAGCCGCCGCGCCGCTTAAACACCATACCAGGTAATATTATTTTACTTAACTCGTCGAGTACCGTCATTATAGACACAATTAAAGAACAATAGGTTGCGGTCACCGGTGACCGCTTGGTGTTTGACAATTTAATTGGGTACTTTCCTTAATCAAAACTACATTATTTCGTCTGTTCAATAAAATAAGATATAAAAAAATAATCACACTTTCATTCATTGATGTTATGACCAACTTCATTTTAGTTTATTTCTAGCTAAATTTTAAGTAATAAGTACGATGTTTGACGCTAAAAAAACGTGACGTCACAATACACAATCTCGTACAAAATTCATAGAAAGCTGTCGTTTTTGACAGTTCGAAAATAGTATCAAATAGGTGTTACATTGTACAGTGGCATTAAGTACCGTAATGTGCACCTCTGCCTACCCCTTCGACTATATAAGGCGTGATGTTATGTTTTAGAAAATAAAAGAATGAAAACTCAGACATTTACGCAATAAACAATGCAACTAAAGTAAACGAAAGCTCCTCTACAATCATTAACTCTTAATCACCATCCCATTTACAATAATCCCCAGATCATCATCCTGCGACTCCTACTTCGAGCCGTGGCAGGCCGAGCTAGCTGACATGCGACTCCGTCTGTCACCACAGGAGAGAGATCACCACATGTTTAGTGAAGAGGATGATACACAGCTACAGATCAATCATGCACAGGTATGCTAATTAAGTGGTGTGGTGATTTGAAGTGGCGTGGTGATTGGAAGTACAATGGCGATGTGACGAATCTATACTGTAATATTATAAAGCTGACGAGTTTGTTTTTTTGTTTGTTTGTTTGAACGCGCTAATCTCCGAAACTACTGGTCCGATTTGGAAAATTCTTCCTGTGTTGGATAGCCCATTTATCGAGGATGGCTATAGGCTATAAAACATCACGCTACGATTAATGGGCACCGAGCAGAGCGTAGAAACCGCGCGGAAGTAGCCAGTGTTGATATAATGGTGATCATTGTAAAGAGTTTATTTAAGACAATGACATATATTGAAGCTTTATCTTTATCTTTAAAAAAAAAAAACGTTGCCCCACACTAGGATTATCTCCTGTGTCGTGGGTGCGTTTACAAACATACAAGTTCACATACACAATGACACCCAGACCTGGAACAACAATCTGTGGATCACACAAAGTATTGTTCCGTGCGGGAATCGAACCCGCGACACGTTGCGCGGCAGCCAGTTGCCCAGCCAACGCGCCAACCGTGCAGTCGTTGTTTATTGTCGGTGGAGGAATGATTGTGTTACAGCTCTTGTTTATGTATTGGATAATTCATCATCGTCAGCCTGTATTCGTCTACTGCTGGACGTAGGCCTCTCCAAAGGCACTCCACTGAGCTCGGTCTTCAGCTCTACGCATCCAACCACTGCCCGTCACTTTCCATATATCGTCCATCCACCTAGCTGGAGGGCGCCCTACACTACGTTTCCCTAGACGCGGTGTCCACTCCAGAACACGTCTACGCCAACTGTCAGCAGTTCTTCGACTACTGTGACCGGCCTACTGCCATTTCAGCTTGCTAATCTATCTGGCTACGTCGGTAGCTTTAGTTCTCTGTAGAATCACCTCGTTACGAATCCTATCCTTCAGAGAGACTCCGAGCTTAGCCCTTTCCATAGCTCGCTGCGCACTGAAATTATAACCTGGGCTTATAATTTTTAATTATAAGTTTGAAATCGCCAACCCGCATTGAGCAAACCTTTTCTTTGTGAGAAGAGGCTTTGCTCAGCAGTGGGCATTAATAAACTGTTAATGTGATTATTAGAGAAGTCACTTTGAAGTGGTGATCATAAACAACCATTGAAAGAAACATTTAGACTGCCTCGTTGGCCGAGTAATTGCAAATGCGACTGCCAGGCAAAGGGTTCTCGGGTTCGATTCCCGGGTCAGGCAAAGTATTGATGGTTGTTTTTTTTGAAATTGTGCTTGGTATATGGCAATAGGCTCACCCCTATTACATAACTTAAATAGTGAAAAGTAGGTGTTACATTGTACAGTGGCATAATGTACACCTCTACCTACTCCTTCGGGGACATTTCAAACACAGTGATAGTATGTTACATTATAATAGTGATTATAGTAAAAACAGTTAATATTTATATTTCAGGACTCGTTATGCTCGACGCCTCCAGAGTCCGGGCTATGCAGCGCAGAGAACAGTCCGCGACGGAACCTTAGGGTCGATATACATCAAGCTAATGAACTCGCTGAGCGGTAAGCACATACATACATACAAATTAAATATTCTACTATATTATACCTACTAACAATTCACTAAATCACCCCCTATTACATGGGACTCATAACATAAATAGTGAAAAGTGGGTGTTACATTGTACAGTGGCATTAAGTGTCGTAATGTGCACCTCTGCCTACTTCTTCGGGGATAAAAGGCGTAGTTATGTTATGTTATGAAATATGTGCGCCTTTACCTAGCCTAAAGAGATTACAATACTGACACGGCTGCTGCGATGGCTATCTGGGTAGCGGGTTCGATTCCCGCACGGATCAACTGTTTGTGTGATCCACAGATTGTAGTTCCGTGTCTGTGTGTATGTGAACTTGTACGTTTGTACACGTACACACGATACAAGAGGAAAATCCTAATGTGGGACAATGTTTTTATAAAACACAGAAACAAAGAAAAACAAATACATGACGTCATTAAATTAACTAAAATCGCGGGTTACTCAAGTGAATATACCGAAAAAGCTCTCAGTGAGCTGCGCGACGTCACTGCGACCGCGCAAGCTGCTCATGAAGAAGTACCCCTCTGTGGTTCGAACCTAGTAGAGCTTACAATAGTTACAGTGAAACCTGGTTAAGTGAGACATCAAGGGAAATGCAATGTCGTTTCACTTGTAGAGGTATTCCACTTACCCAGTGTCTCAGATATACAGGTATAAGTAAATATCTGTGTCATTTACAGAGGGTTCTATTAATAGAGGTGGACTTGGAATTACGTGTGTAATTTGTGGGTAGAATAAGAATGAGTAAACAAACAATGTTATCTCAGTTACAGAGGTTTATGCATATAAAATTTACTCGCTGTCTCAGTTATAGAGTAACTATGATGATAAATCGAAAGAACAAATCTCAGATATAGAGGTTTACCTCGTCCCACTAACAGAGGTAATTCAGTGCCAAAGTGTTGGGACCTCAGCATGAGTTCCAGTTATGAAGGTTTCTCACTTATCCAGTTCCCACTTAACCAAGTTTCACTGTATTATAAAAACATGACGTCATTATTGTATTTACAGATGTCTTTTCAAAACAAAATGGCACGTGAATTTGTCTAAGCTTACCGTGGATTTTTAATTGAAGAATTGTTAATGAAGTTCCAATTGTACTAAGAAGTGGATTCTTGCCTTTTTTGTTAGTTTTTTCATATTAAATATTATTTTTATTACATCCAATACAGGGCCTTTAACCAAACGCCACTTTAACGCTTGTCTACAGAGAGAGTAGAAATCAAAATGTATGGGGATGTCAAAATTTACGCCAATCCCATAAAGTCAAAGTCAAAGTCAAAGCATTTATTTCAATTAAACCATAGTTTGGTACTTTTGAAACGTCAACAAATACAAAATAAATAATAGTCTGTCAGTCAGTCCGTCAGTGAAATTAGGTGAAGCTAGGTGCTCATTCCAAAACGTAGATTCGAATGGAGAAGAACGAGCAAGAAACTCCATTCGTTACTCTTTTAAAAAAGTATGTTCTACAATGCCATCGTACGCACAATTTCCGACTTAATGTATATTACCGGAAACCGCCTAGAACGATATTTTAAATAAAACGTAATAATACGACCGGAAGTAGTGCGTACGATACCACTTAATTTTTATATTAGGTACATAAATATCTTTTAAACACTAAGATTATAAGCTCCGGTTTGTCTCGAAACTAGACGGATGTTATTAAAAAAACTAACATTTTTAATTAATCATTATGTTTTCGACTTACAAACGAAACTGACGAGGAACTCGACTAGTTTCAAGCCATTGATACTGAGCAGTAGCAGCGCGGCAGTAGCCGCGTTGCGGGTCGTTGAATACTGTTCATGAATGAGTCTCTAGCATGGCTTGAAACTAGTCGTAGCTTGAGTAAGCCGAAAACACAATAAATGATTTAGCATGTATCGTGAAAGTAGTAATATGAGCATGTGTAATGTTGGTCCAGACGCCGCGTGGCCCTGGAGGAGCAGTTGTCCCAGATCGGGTACATCGACGGCGAGTCCCCGCGCGCGCGCCCCGCGCCGGAGAAGCGGCACTCGGCGCGCCCCGCCTCGCCCACTCACACCGACATTGCTAAGAGGTATGTACATTAAACTGTCAAACACCAGTCGGTCACCGGTGACCGCAACCTATTGTTCTATAATTGTGTCTATAATGACGGTACTCAACGAGTTAACGCTATTTATGTATTGTTGTTTTTCTTTCCAATTCATTTCTAAGTGTGAGAGAGCCATGCTTCGGCACGAATGGGCCGGCTCGACCGGAGTGATACCACGGCCTCATAGAAAACCGCTAACCGTAACCGTAACGCTTGCGTTGTGTTTTGTCGTGCGAGTGAGGTTACCGGAGGCCCAAATACCCTTCCACAATCTCCCCAATTCCTGAATCCCCAACGATCCTGAAACTCCTAATTCCCAAAAGGCAGGTAATGCACTTGTAATGCCTCTGGTGTTCCAGGTGTCCTTGGGCGACGCCGATTGCTTACCATCAGGTGATCCGTCGGCTCGTTTACCGGCTTATACCATAAAAAAATTAATAGTTATGGTTTAGCTATTCCTGTGCCTTTAGCCAAACGCCACTTTAGCGCTTAGAGAGTAGAAATCGAAATGTATGGGGATGACACTGACAAGTGTCAAAATTTACGTCAATCCCATAAAATTTGGTTTTCTATTCTACATATAGACAAGCGCTGAATGGCATTTGGCTACAGCTGCTGATTTTGTAATTTGATTTCGATGTTAACAATATAAGGTGCGTTGTAATGGTGATACTGTTTATTTTTCCTGCCTTCTGAGTCTTTAAAATCCAATGTAATAAGTTTAAATAAGTTTCTAATATCAAAGAGGTAAACTATGCGACTTTATAAGTTTTCTAATAATAAGATTTTTTTACATTTATTTAGTTGAACTTTAATGTACACATTTTGGTATTATCCGACTTAATATACGACGACGGACGACGGAGCGACGGAACTGACATATATAAATTATAAATATATATATAAATTTTGAAGATATCTTCAACCGGATATTTTATATACACGTCTAGTTTGCATGACCATAAATGCTTAGCTTTATAAAACCTACTTTTAATTTAAATTTATTTTGTCCACAGACTATGCAAAGACCGAGACAGCCCAATGGCTTCACTCACGGACTTCCCAACCTCCCTGGCTAATGTTAAACTCAGGTAAATATATAATATACTATATATCATTATTATATGTGTAGTCTATATGAGTTCTATATTGAAATGGTACTTAATTTTTTAGTTATATAGAATTTTTTGTTTTGTTGCTATAGTTTTAGTTTTAAGGTTGAATTTGCATTGCTAAGTCTTGTGCTAAGTACGCTAGGATTTGTCTCTTGTGTCGTGAATGTTTTAACAAACATACAAGTTCACATACATATTACACACAAATCCGAAACAACGATTTGTGGATCATCACAATATTATTACTCTTAAAAATATTTAAAGTTAAATCGTTGCTTCCCAAACGAGTTGCCGGGGCTCCGGCTCGACGTGCAGGAGTAGGAACGGGGTGGTTTTTAGTCAGTAAGAGTCTGACACTCCCTCCCGCCTCACCCAGGCGGGAGCAGTCATTCGATGATTTACCCCCCTTAAAAAAACACTAAGATTTCCTCCTGTGTCGTGTGTACGTTTAACACGTTCACATACACACACAGACACGGAATTACAATCTGTGGATCACACAAACAGTTGCTCCGTGCGGGAATCGACCCCGCCAAACCCGCCAACCGTGCAATCAAGTGGTCACATAAGCAGTGACACTTTATTGTAACAACTAATCGATTTATCTATACTAATATTATAAAGAGGAAAGATTTGTATTTTTGTATGTTTGTAATGAATAAACTCAAAAACTACTGGACCGATTGCAATAATCTTTTCACCATTAGAAAGCTGCATTATTCAGAAGTAAAATAGGCTATATAATATCACGCTAGGTCCTATAGTTGTGGAGCAGTAACCAAAAATGTTTTAAAAACGGGGGAAAAGTATCGTTTCTGAGGCCTTCCGTGGCGTGCGCTGAGCACATAGTTAAAGTTATACAAAAATGCTCTATAGATGAATTGTTCATAAATAAATGAAATAAGTAAATGAAGTCCGGAAAAATATTTTTAAAAGGTAAATACTAACTAAATAAAAAAAAAACTGAGAATAAATAAAACGTTAAACTATGTAAAAAATCTTAAGTCCCCCCGTGCGAAGCCTGTACGGGCCGCTAGTTCATTATAAAATTGAGTACCATTTCAATATTATGTGATGTATAGTTTGTTATATAGTTGTTATCATTATGTGTGTAAATATATATACATATATATACTATACATATTATATTACACTATATACTTACGTGTCTGTATGTTCATATGTATATAAAATTCTACTATCATAGATACTTTTACAAAGATTACAATTTTAAAGAAGTGAAATAATATTATGTGTTTCTAAATGCCTCGTTGAGCGAGCACTCTAACGCGACTGCCGAGCAAGGAGTCTCGGGTTCGAATCCCGGTTTGAGCAAAGTATTATATGATTGGGCATTTCGAAAGTTTGTTATCTGAAATTATGTCTAGTATATGGTAATACACCCTCCTATTACTGGGAATTTCTTAAAAAAATTCAGTAATAATTTGCCCGACCCGGGAATCGAACCCGATACCTCTTGCCCGGCAGTCACACTTGGCCAACGAGACAGTCTTGTGAACCTAATAACATGCAAATAAGTATGTTAGTAATAATAAAAGCGATAGTATTTAATTTTACTGAGAATACAAAACAAGATATCTTGCCTTAATCAAAATAAATTATTTCCACTGTTCATTATCATCATAACATCATAACATAACATAACATCACGCCTTATATCCCCTAAGGGGTAGGCAGAGGTGCACATTATGCCACTGTACAATGTAACACCCACTTTTCACTATTTATGTTTAGTCCCATGTAATAGGGGGTGAGCCTATTGCCATATACCAGGCACAATTCCAGATTCTAGATTACTGAGATTTAAAAAAAACTCAGTAATCCTTTGCCCGACCCGGGACTGCCTCGTTGGCCGAGTGGTCGCAAGTGCGAATGCCGGGCAAGGGGTCTCGGGTTCATCATCATCAATAAATAATAAATTCTTTTCCGACAATGAATTTGTCCCTTATTATATGAGACATTTAAAATTGAATACTATCGCCGAAATAAACGGAATACGTTAGAAATCTCATATATACCTCTATATTTGTATATATTTACAATTTCACATACATTACATGTTTTTCAAAATTATTATGAGATTAGACAGATATGTGTTTCGGAATGTAGTATTTTATGTTTTATATAATAGTATTATCTTGTTGTGTATTTGGAAATCATCACATAAGTCCATGACAGTCCACTCCTGGGTGCTTTAATCTTGAAACCAATCTCAATGTCAATGCAATTTCAGTCCAATAAAATCTCAATAATTATTCAATGTCAACACTATACAACCACAGGCGTAGCTGTTACAATAGCATTCAGAGTACGGAATATAAAGCAAAACTCAATACCATTTAGTTCATTCAATATCCACGCAATACGGATGCAATGGGCGCTAGTGTTGCAACTCAAGAGTACGAAATTTCACAATACCAATGTCGATCGATCGGAATTGGATTCAAGAGTAAACACCCTAAGCTATGAGCCTCCTCTACATAAGAGGGGTATGACAGGTGGGTTAGAGATCGCAGTATAAAAGGTTCAGCTTTTATCAGAGAGCGCTGCTGCACGGTCTCTGTCTATGTGTAGTCCCTTAGTCGGGTATGCGACACCCGCGGAAAGAAACACAGTGCTGAAATTAAATGTCTGTCTAATGTCATAATTTTTTAAATACTCATACATAACATTATGAGATATTGTGTGAGCCATTTCATACCTTATTTATTAAACAATTAGATATAGTTTTCGTTGTTTTGGATTTGTTACGTTGTACATATTTTTAGAAAGTAGGTTTTTTATAGTAATAGGTAATGTATAATGTATAGGTAGTTAAAGTAGCATTTTGTCCGAATTGTTAAAATTTATCTAGATTCAATATAGAAATTTTACTCTTTTTCAAATATTGTTGTCCATAAGAATCGTCAACAATTTAAATAAGTATCTACCAGAACTGCCCACCCCTCGAAAGAATTACAGGCTAAAAACAACTTAAAAAAATCCATAAAAATACATCAAACACATTAAAATCAAAATTAAAATAGATCAAATTTATATAACGTATTGTTTTAACCGACTTCCCAAAAAGGAGGAGTGTTTTGTCTTGTATTAGGTTCTGCCCGCGACTTCGTACGCGCATCTCCAACTCCCATAAGATTTTCAGGATTTTTCTATCATAAGACCCTTCTTCTGACAATAGGCGTGTCGACAGGGTAAAAAAATCAAAAAAGTAATTAGTCCGTCATTAAGATCGCACGAAAATATCAGACACGTATCTTTTGTTTTATCAAATTAACAGAAGAATACGTAGTTATTCCGCATTAAAGTTAGGGAGTGGGGGGTGTTGACGTCACACTTACGGAGAAATCGTACCTAATTGTGACGTCACTCGTCATTTTAACTCAAAATATCTACATGTTTTTTTGGATACGAGAAAAAAGAAAAAATACGTATCGAAGATTTTTAAAATATCTAAAAGACGGACAAAAAATTAAAAAATAGTCGCCATGCCTATTACAAACACAACAAAAAAAAATCAGTGAAATCGGTCCCTTCTCAAGTTATGGCGTGACAACGGGAAACGGGTTTCATTTTTATATATATAAGATAAGATACTAGCGACCCGCCCCGGCTTCGCACGGGTGCAATATGCATGTATTATACATATAAACCTTCTTGAATCACTCTATCTATTAAAAAAACCGCATCAAAATCCGTTGCGTAGTTTCAAAGATTTAAGCATACAAAGGGACATAGGGTCAGAGAAAGCGACTTTGTTTTATACTATGTAGTGAAGATAAAACAATTGCAGCATTTTACTCAAAAACAGAACAACTCCAAAACAACGAAATAATTAAAACCGAGAATAACACAACAACATATAGATGTTATAACAAACCTCTAAATTTCCGCTTACAACTAAAATGTAACATTTACAGAGAAAGAAATTCACCAAGGAAATCGAAAACACGATACAGTGCCATGCATTTCGAAACGGACAAACAGACAAACAGACTCAGTTGGCATGGCAAAGATGGACATTCTACATTCAGCAAAGATGGCCATTCTACCTTAATTAAAATCGACTGGCCAGCAGAAAACTCTGTCAGTAATTTGACTACAAGCACAATTAATTCTAGCCCTCTAACGCCCGTGACTCCTGTTTATGATCCCTTAGAAAGCGACTCAGAAGTTAGCGAGGCCAACAAACACACTATACAAATTAAAAGTGAAGTTTGCGACTCCTGCGAGCAAGAGAAATGTCTCAAATGCGAGCTCAGAGCTACGGATTACGAAAATATAAAAGACTTTACTGAATTGCACGATAGTTTGGAACATAGTCCACATTCGACAGATATAAGCTATCATAATCTTAATCGACTGTCGGCTGTGTCGAACTCCTCGAATTCAGATCATACGGACAAAAAAAAGGATGACAATGACGTCATGAAAGTTATGACGTCATCCCACGAGAGTTCTTCGAGTTATTCCAACGTGAGTTTGACGAAAGGGGATGAGTTGTACGAATGCTATAATTATACGAGACCAAACTATATCAATTTGCAGTCTTCGAGTACTAGTAAAAGTTCGCCAGGCAGTCCTTTGAAAAGTCCTTTGAAATCCACTATAAGTATTACATTCCGATCTCCGACCAAGAGTAAAAATTTTGAGGACACGCCCACTAATGATAGGGATTCAGTTTACGAAGACATTGATTTAGAGAAGAACTTGTCCATAGTTGAAGACGCGAGCGTTCCACAGACTGATGCCTGCTTACCCACTCAACAGGCTTGCCAACCTAACGATATACAGGACCTTATAATCCTAGAAACTCCCACAGAAACGAATCTAGATGAAGACCTAGATGTTTACAGCCAAGTCAAGTTTTTCAAGAAGAGCATAGATGAAGTAAACGCCATGTTGCTTCCAGAAGATAGACATTATGAAAATATTGCTTTCGAGAAGCAAAACGATTACGAAAACATAAACGTTGATACTCTGAAGATTTGTGACAAAGATATGAGTGACGTAGATAACACAAAGCCGGTTGAGAATGGTAATTTTAAGAGTATGAATGTAAGAGAGTTAGCTATACGCTTCGAGAGTCCTACTGAACAGAAATCAGCATTCACTTTCGAAAAATTCAAGGCTGAAATCAAATACCCGAGCCTAGAACGCAAAGATGAGAAAAAAGTCATCGAAATTAAGAAAATAGACTTAAAAACACCATCTGTATCGCCAAAATCTTATAAATTGTCCAAAAATTCTTGTAATGCAAGGTCTTTAGATGAGAATGCCTTCATAAAGGAATTTGGCAACGACCAATCAAACGATAGACGCAAAAGTCTAGAAGTTAAAACTTCAAAGAAGCTCCCGGACTTGAATTTGAACACGGACCACGAACATAAAGTTATTATAACGCCGACAACGGAAAACAAAATCTCACTAATACAACGCTTCGACCGACCAGACGTTAAGAACATTATAAGCTTCGATTGTGATAAAAAATTGAGTCGAGAACGAATAGAGAAGTACAAAGAGGAAAGGAGAAATTTCCTCAGAGAGAAATATAGTTCGCAGTCTTTTCGTTCGAACCCTGAACAGTTAACTAGAATCAAAATTCGAAAAGATAGAGAAGACAGAATTGAGACGTGTGAAAGACTAAAAGAAGAGGTGCCTAAGTTTGAGAGGAGGAACACAGTGGATCTAGGTCAAAGATTAAGGTTCAGTCTAGCTAAGAGTAGTACTAATTTGGAGTCTATTCCATCTCCTACCAGTCCTGATGATGAGAGGGAGTTTAAGAGTGAAAATGATGACAGGAGTCAATATGAGAGGTAAGTGTCTTTCGGAATAGATTTTTTGGAAGATATTTTTAAATCTTTAGGAAGAATTTTGAGTATTTTTTTCCAGTTTGAAGTTATTTAAAATGATATTTAGTTTTATTTTTAGTCGTATTTGGTTTTAGTAAAATAATTGATGAAACTAATGTAAGTTGAGATTATTCATGTTTAGATATCTATTTAATAACATGTATTGACGTTAATAATGACGAATTATTAATTTTTATTTTTGAAATGCACTTCAAAACATCAATCAGGGGATACAATACCTATCTTATTCACTTCTTTCCAATATGGTGTCAATTGCCAACTTTGACATTATGAAACAAAAATCGAGCAAAAACCACCTTTATAGCCATGAAGCTAACTTTCAAAAACTTGACATTCACTTTGATCATCAACAATAAAAGGAGAATTAAAAATATCTTCTAAAATTACACCTCTTTTGTGAAAAATTCTTATGTCTGTCGTTTTTTGTGACAATTGGCTTTTAAAATTTAACATTAACCAAAATTTCACGTAGCTCTACATAGTACTAGACCAGCTGAAAAATATCTATAATATAATTGGGTACTTTCCTTAATCGACTGTCTTCTCAATCCATCGACTGTTCAATACAATAAAATATTAAAAAATAATCACACTTTCATTAATTGATTTTATGACCAACTTAATTCTAGTATTTTTCCAGCAATTTTTTTAAGAAATAAGTACGCTGTTTGACGCTAAAAAAACGTGACGTCACAATACACAATCTCGTACAAAATTCATAGAAAACTATCGTTTTTGACAGTTCGGAAAAAGTATTGAATTTAACTAGTTGGCAAGTACGCGATTCAAACTTACTTCAACTCCTCTAGAGTTGCAGGTGGTCATGGGCGGCGCTGATTGCTTACCATCAGGTGATCCGTCAGTTCGCAAAAAAGATACTATTATATAATATAAATTAATATTCGTATAATTTCTGTTATAGAAAAGAGAAAATGTCGCCTTCATACAACATTAAGGATATGACAGCGATCTTCGAGCAGAAATCGCATCCACACACCGGTTGAACGGAATCTCCTACGACAAGTATTTATTATTATTTAGTTGAAACTGTGATGGGGGACTTCTAGAATATAGACTACTGATTGACTAGCTGTTTCACAAAGTATTCGAAACGAGTGCTCGTTCAGCGCTCTGATTGGCCGGCGCCAGTGAAGCAACCAATCAGAGCGCCGGACGCGTACTTGTTACGATTAATTTAAACGTATAACAAACTCGTACTAAGGCCGCTGCTGCTCGTATTGCTTATTGCGTGATGTTTTATTGCCTTCTTCGATAAATGGACTATTGGACATAGCATTTAATGCACTTTTGAAACGTTAACGTATATGGCAATAGGCTCACCCCATAATACACGGGACTCATAACACAAATAGTGAAAAGTGAGTGTTACATTGTACAGTGGCATAATGTGCACCTCTGCCTACCCCTTCGCGGATAAAAGACGTGATGTTATGTTATGTTATAACGTCAAAATTTTATTCCTCTTCAGTCTGTCTGTCTGTGTAGCTAGGAGAAGAACGAGCAAGAAACTCCATCGTTACTCTTTTGAATATAATATTGTGGTGTGTCACTTAATCGGGTATGCGACACCCGCGGGAAGAGTAGAGGTGTTAAGAAATATATTCATCTCTGCCGTCACCCATCACAGTAGCCATGTAATTTTGTTATTAATTTATAATTATTATTATTATAATTGTAAAAGAACTCATGTATGGTAATTTGTGAAATATTTTCTTTTAAGTTATCGTCTATAAGCATGCATTGTATGGTTATTGTGTTTATATACATGTCTTATGTGTATGTATGTTTGTTCATTTTGATATATTGAAGTGTCGTGGTCGTGAGTGCGACTGGCAAGTATGAGGTAACAAGTTCAATTCACGATTTGGGTAAGCACGACTGTAAAGTAAGTAGTGTCGAGAGAGATCAAATCAAGGTTAGGAAAAACTTAATTATGTTGGGTTAGTCCATTTTTCAAAATTCTTATTATATAATATCAGTGTGAATTTGCGAATTATGTCTATAATATTAACATATTAACTGCCTAATTAAGTTACTGCCTACCTTTTCGTGGATTTAAAGGCAAGATAATTCTGACTCTAGAATCGAACCTGAAATGATTCCCTTTACAGTCGCACTTGACTGCCGCTAAACCAACGAGGCAATCTTAATCAAAACTAACATATAAACATACACATATAAATATATATATAAAAACAACAAAAAAATCTAGTTTTTAATGAAATAAGTCACTTGTTACGTTAAATTATTATTTATTGACTATTATTACTATTAACTATTAATAATACATTATTAATTTTATTGTCGACTCATATACGTTGGGCTTGAAGCGGTATTACAATTGTTAGCTTCGATTCTCAAGCAATGAATTTCATATTTTTTCTACCAACTTCCCCTAAACCAATTCTTAGCTAAAAGTCATTTAGCTTGCACCTAAACTAAACCCTTACTGGTACTGTTAGGTGTCACTTATAAGTTAATAACAACCAAACTCGTCGTTAAGTGCCACCTATCTTAGTTTAGGGGTGCGTTAATTTTTTAATGTCCGTCTGGTAGATTATTTAAAAACATTAGACACGTATTTTTTATTTTCGTACAGAAACAAAAACTTTCGACGATATACTATATACTATTGATTTGAAATATCACGTGACGTCAATTCTATGTACAGTCAAAGGTCAAAAGTCCACTGCCACCGTGAGTGATGTTCACACGGCAATGCATAAGTAGTGTCATATTAATGTGCATAAAGACGCGTGCGTACGCATACACACACGCACGTGTACGCACACGGATACAAATAAGCGTGTGTGTGTGTGTGTATAAGCGCTGCAGCGCAACCGATAGTGTAGTCTTACGGTGGCAGTGGACTTTTGACCATTGACTGTATAATTTATACGTAGAATGACGTAACTAGCTCCCATATCTAAATTTTGATACGATTTATCTAAGAAACTTTTGCCGGCTGCTTTGTCTGCATTTCATTGAGATTAAAAGTAGCCTATGTGTTATTCCACACCATAATCTACCCCTGTTCCAAATAAACACCTTGAATGCCATGGGGGACAATGTTTTTTTTTAAGGGGGGAAAATCATCGAATGACTTCTCCCGCCTGGGTGAGACGGGAGGGAGTGTCAGACTCTTACTGACTAAAAACCACCCCGTTCCTAGTCCTGCACGTCAAGTCGGAGCCCCGGTAACCCGTTAGTTAGTCGTCTCAGTTTACAGACACACAAACTTTCGCATTTATAATATTACATCAACAGCCACCACATATATAAGTGGCCACTGCTAATCAAATCAAACCTCTTCTCACACGGAGAAGGTTTGAGCATTAATCACCACGCTTGCACAATGCGGGTTGGCGATTTCAAACTTATAATTAGAAATTATAAGCTTAGGCTTCCTCACGATGTTTTCCTTCACCGTTTGTCAGTGGTGTCTAAATAATCTTAGAAAGTACATATAACTCGGAAAAAGTCACATTGCTACTTGCCGAGATATACTGAGAAGATAGACTGAGAAGCGGCGTGTTAAACCTTCGGGCCACCACGACTATAATATTAACTAGCTACTTCCGCGCGGTTTCACACGCTCTGCTCAGCTCCTATTGGTCGTAGCGTGATGTTTTATAGCCAATAGCCATCCTCGATAAATGCGCTATCCAACACAAAAAGAATTATTCAAATCAGACTTGTAGTTACGGAGATTAGCGCGTTCAAACAAAAAAACTCTTCAGCTTTATATAATAGTATAAGTTGATATAACAAAATACGTGTCTAATATTTTTTCATTGTCTAACTATGACGGACTTATGACATTTTTAATTTTCATACATTTATTTTCCACTCAAGCAAGGACTATGATGATATTATGTCTCTTTATAATCTGAAAATCCTCAGTAATAGCACGGAGTCTGAAATTGTGCCTGACCGAATACAATGTAACACAGGACCCATGCCATGACTATTCGATGAATAAATTTTGACTACAACTAAATTTCCTAAATTTGTTCATATAAAATTAGTCTCTAAACATCGGAAATAAGCTCCATAATGGAGTGGGTAAAGGATTAAGAAGTGGGAATACAGAATTGCCATGAAATACATGCATTTACTATATTTTTGTATAAAAAGTAATTATTCTTTAGAATAGTACGTTCTAAATAATACAAATGTTATTATGAAATATACAAAAAAAATATATTAAATGAAAACTATCGTGAGACATAGACAATTAACTTAACTGTCTACTAGTTTCGAGTCACAGAGGGGCCCTTCATGAGAGGCTACGCGTCAGCTGCGAACGCGCTCACGGCTCATGAGAAAGAACCCCTCTGTGGTTCGAAACTAGTAGAGCTTTTCTCAGTATTTTCACGTGAGTAACCCGCGATTTTTAATTATAAAGTCCTATGTAATATTTCATTCAGTAAACGTTTCGTTCCTATATGGAATTGATATTCAACTCATATTTCAAAAACCTATCTATCTATATATATTTTCTTTATCATGCGTACAGCCTCGTAGCGTCCCCTGCCTCCCACAGTCCTCCCCCAATAACTACAAATCGCGAGGTTGGAAGCGACCTGCATACAACAACTGTCGCAGGCCTTTATTTAGATTTGCTTACAGATACTATGTTAACATCAGTATACAAAATATGCCAAAATTTATATTATAACTATCGTGAGACATACTAAATTAATTATTGCTTTTTGGCTTACTCATGTAATTATTTGATGAGGGAATCGACTAGTTTCAAGCCATGCTAGAGGTTCATATTAATGAGCAGCACTCCGCGACCCGCAAGTGGCAAATGTCGCGCTGCTACTAGCTCGAGTCGGCGGTGCGTGCCCAACGCGCCCTCTGCCGTGATTCACGCGCAAGCACCTCTATCCGTGGTTCGGTTGCATAGGTGTTGAGGTCGAAACCCAGGTTGGGCCTAGTAACACTCAATACTAGTTACTTTGCAAAAGTGTTACTTAACTCATCTCTACTCTAGTAAGCAAATATACAGATAGATAGGTTGTTGAAAATTGAACTTTATTTAACAGACAATAAAATATATAATACTCTGAAAATACTTAAATGTTTATGTAAAAAACTTCACAAATCATGGTCTATGTATGTATTTTTGAATTTGTTTTTAAAAATGAAGTAAAATCAACTTTCGAGGACGCCCGACCGGTTTCAAGTTATACAAGGGCTCATAAGTAGCTATGAAGCGAATTAATTAATGTTAAATGTATATACCGATGTACGTATAAAGCTATTGTTTAAAATTTATTGAAGCTGGCTCTTATGTACCTATTTATAATTGGTTTGACGTTGCAATTTCAAAAATTTAGGTTTTACCAGGTCTAGTTGGACTTTTCCAAAAATATGTTTTTGTATAGATAGGAATCTCTACATTATTTTTCTTTTCGATATAAGCAGTACTGCCGAACATGGAATCTTGCGTTTTATTCTCGGGTCGAACAAAAGACTTGTCGAGAATTTTTGAAAATTTCTCAATTATAGCGCGGCGACTGGAATGGCATATGGCAATAGACTCACCCCCTATTACATGGGACTCGTAACATAAATAGTAAAATGTGTCTCTTGCCTCTTGAAAGTTATGGTCGTAATTTCAACAGATAAGAGGATACGCACCTGCCTACCTCGTTTTTGGAATTGTAACTTCAAATATATGATGATGAAGCTTCCAAATATATAATGAATGAATATTTTATTGAACAAATCTTTGCTAAATTATTTGTAAAATTGTATGTAATATTTTAAAAAACTAGCTTCAGCCCGCGACTTCGTACGCTCAATCCCGTTTTCTCCCGTACCCGTAGGATTTTCAAGATTTTTTCTGTCATAAGAACCTTCTCCTGACAATAATAAACACAACAAAAAAATCTGCCAAATCGGTCTTATATATATAGACTAGCTTCTGCCCGCGACTTCGTACGCGCAATATTGTTTTTTCCCGTTCCCGTTGGTGATACTCGATAAAAAGGAAAAAAAACAATTATTAAAAGTATCCTATGTCAGTCTCCTGGTTCTAAACTACCTCCCCACCAATTTTCATCCAAATCGATTTAGCCGTTCTATAGTTATAAATAGTGTAACTAACACGACTTTGTTTTATAAATATAGAAGATGTACAATGTATTGAACTTGTATTATTTATTAAAAATATTTATTGAAATGAAATTAATTACAACAGAATTTACATACGATGTCTGGTTCCCGAAATAAGCACTGTTATCTTTATGTCTAATATAAATACGAAAGTTTGTTTGTTCGTGTGTACGTGTTACTCGAT